CGCGTGGAGGGCGTACGCCGCGAGCGCCGGCCCGAGCGCGCAACGCTCCTGCGCGGCCAGCTGCGCGGCCGCGGCGGCCGCCGCGTCCCGCGCGCCGGCGAAGCGCGGCGCGGCGCGGGCGACGGCCGCGGCAAGCGTCTCAGCGGAGGAAGCGTCCACGTTTCGGACGAACACAGGGGCGCCTTGGAGGAGGCCTTTTGGGTAGTAAGCGTCCAGCTTGCGCAATGAGTAGGCCTGCCCTACATCGGGGCGGCTGTCCCGCTGCTCCAGAAAAAACCAGCACTCCTCCCCCAGGCCACTGCGGGCGCGACAAGCACGGCGAATGGGGGTTCAATGGCGTGAGACTGGCGGGATCAGGGCGCGCGCGGCTCGCGTGTGTCGGGGACACGGAGTTGGCACGCTTGAGCGCCCTGGATGGGCCGAAGGAGCCAAAACCGGCCCGCGAACGCGGCGGCTGCTGAGGGAGAGCGGCCGGTGCCTAAAAGCGGGCGTCCCCCCCGGCGCGGCTTGCTGCAGTGCGGCCCGCCCAGCGCTGCACCCGCCACCCACCCCGCCTCCGAGATCTCCTCCAGATCCGCCTCCGCCCGCTCGCATTCCGCCTCCGCCGCCGCCACCGCCGCTTCGGCCTCCGCGAGACGCCGCGCGTCTGCGCGCTCCGCCGCGCGCTCCTCGGCGCTGAGCAGTGCCGCGGCTGCCGGCGGCTCGGGAATGAGGTAGGCGTGCCAGTCCAGCGGGGCCCGCCGCTCCTCGCGCTGTGCAAGTGTCGGCAACGACTGCGGCTGCTGCTGCTGCTGCTGCTGCTGCTGCTGCTGCTGCTGCTGCTGCTGCTGCTGCTGCTGCTGCTGCTGCTGCTGCTGCTGCTGCTGCTGCTGTTGCAGTCCAGGCGGCATACGCGGAAGTCCCGAACGTCGCTGCAGCTGCTGCGGCTGCTGCGGCTCTTGCGGCTTGTGTGGCTGCTGCAGCTGTGGGGGTCCCATAGGCGGGGGTTCCAAGTGCTGCTGCTGCTGCTGCTGCTGCTGCTGCTGCTGCTGCTGCTGCTGCTGCTGCTGCTGCTGCTGCTGATGATGATGATGATGATGATGATGTCGCTGGTGTGGAGGCCTCGCCTGCGGAGACCGCGCCTCCAGAGGCCGCATCTGCGGAGGCCGCGCCGGCAGCGACGACGCCGCCGGCTGTGGCTGCTGCTGGGTCTGTTGCCGCTGCTGCCCGGGGTGCGTGCAGGGCGCTGGGGCTGGCAGTGGCTGCTGCCGTCCCGACTCCCGAGATGGATGCTGCTGCACTGCGGCCCCCTCCCGGGCCGCCAGCGCTGCCGCGGGCTCTGGGGCATTCTGCTGAGGCGATGCGCACCCGGGACCGTCGGGGCAGCGGACATTGGGGTGGCGGAGCGCGTCCGGCGGCGCCGCTGCTGGCACGGGCGCGGGCCGGGCGGCTGCCGCGCTGCGCTCCGGCTGCGACGAGCTGTGCAGCGCAGGCTGCTTGACACCCTCCTGCTGCGGCTCCTCTGGGCCTGAGTGCACTCCCGCGCCGCCATCCTCCGGCCCCTGCGCCTGCGGCTGCGGCTGCGGCTGCCTCTGGCAGTGCTGTCGCTCCTCCTCCCCTGCCCTCGAAGGCCCCCCGTCCGGCGGCGCTGCGGCATCGGCCGTGTTGGCTGACGCCACCTGCTGTTGATGCCCCTGCGACTGCTCCGGCGGGGTTCCATCGCTTAAGCTGGGTGCCCCGTCAACCCCTGCTGCCGCTGTGATGTGAGGAGGGCGGCGGTGGCTGAGCGAGGGGCTGGTGAGCCTCTGCTGCGGCGGGCTGTCGCGCCTGCCAGCCGAGCCAATTGCACAGCCTGATGCATGCCGCATCTCCTGCTTCTGCTGCTCCTGCGGCTCCGGCTCATCCTGCCGTCGCCGCTGCTGCTGCTGCTGCTGCTGCTGCTGCTGCTGCTGCTGCTCCTGCTGCTGCTGCTGCTGCTGCTGTTTCTGCTGCTTTTCTTCGCGCCTGTGCTCCTCCTGCTGCTGTTTCTGCTGCTCTTGCTGCTCTACTTGCTGCTCCTGCTGCAATTCCTGCTGCTCCTGCTTCCCTGTCTTCTCCAGCGGCATGTGCCGCTGCTCCTGCTGTTCTTGCTGATGCTGCTGATCCTGCGCCTGCTGCGACTGCTCCTGTGCCTGCGGCTGCTCTTGTGCTGGCTGCTGCTGCTGCTGCTGCTGCTGCTGCTGCTGCTGCTGCTGCTGCTGCTGCTCTTCTTGCAACTGCTGCTGATGATGATGCTCCTGCCGCCGCAGCCGATGCTGCTGCTGGGGCGACGACTCCGCGCCTCGCGACCGCGGCGAAGACAGCCGGAAGCGTTGCGGCGAGCGGGAACGCAACCGCGGCCGCTTCTCCCCGTCGTGCCGCGAACCGTCCTGCCGTTGACGCAGCTGCGGCACATGCAGTTCTGGCGATCGCGGCCGCCGTTGCGCGTTCCTGGGGCCAGCCCGCGCCCCGTCGCCCCGCGCGCCGCCTGCGCCGCGCTCCCGGCAGCGTTCGGGCGATGGGCGGCGCAAGCCGCTGCGCTGCAAGGGACGATCCGTGCGGCGCTCTGCGGGCGACCGGCTCCTGCCTCTCCCCCTCTCTGCTGCGCCGCTGGCGCCGCGCGCCAGGCTGCTGGCTCGGCGGCCTCTGTCAAAGCTGCGGCTCCTGGCCCTGGCTGGCATCCGGCGCTCTCGCGGGCTCCGGCTCAGGCTGCGGCGGCGGGGCGCCGAGGCGGCACCGGACCTGTCAAGGCAGGCGGGCCCGGGCCGGTCGTTGACCCTTGGGTCGCCGCGCCTGCTCCTGCTCCTGTGCCTGCTCCTGTGCCTGCCCCTGCTTCTGCTTCCACTCCTGCTCCTGGGATGGCTGCTGCTCAGCTTCTGCCCTACGAAGCTGTCATTGTTGTGGCAGCCATTCATGTGCGGCCCCCTACTTAGGCCCCCACCCCTGGGACCTTTGCAGCCACGGCCGTGCAGCGCACCGCCGCTGGAGGTGCTGCCGCTGCTAGTGCTGCTGCTGCCGCTGCTGGTGGTGCTGCTGCCGCTGCTGGTGGTGCTGCTGCCGCTGCTGGTGGTGCTGCTGCCGCTGCTCATGCCGCAGCTGTGTTGGGGGCCTGCCTTGCCCGCTGAGCCCTCGCCTGCCTGCGCGCCTGGCAGCGCAGCGTCATGCTCCTTGTTCTGCCCCTGTTGTGATGGCAACTCTGCCGCTGGAAGCCCCGCCTTTGCACACAGCTGTGGCTCATCGTGTGCCGTGCTGCCGTCCTGCTGCTGCTGTTGCTGCAGCTGGTGCTGGTGGTGGTGGTGGTGCTGCTGCTGCTGCGCTTGCAAGTACGGCCGCGGCAGCAGCATGCCGGCCGCCGACGCCACCCGCGGTGCCGCGGGGGATTCGCGTGCAACGCTCGACCCTGAGTCAGGGCGACAGGCGCGTTGCTTCGCGCGGTTGCATCCGCCCCGGCTGACACCGCTGGATGGCGCTGGGCGCTGGGGCGCGTGCGCACCTGTGGCCGCCCCGTTCCCTCCATCGGCGGTCGCCGCTGCCCCCGCGTCCGCGCTGCTGCTGACCATCTGCCGCGCCTGCTGTCCCGCCTGCGGCTGGGCCTGCAGCAGCCTCCCCAAAGCAGCGCTGTAAGCCTCCAGCTCCAGCGCTTGCTGCCCGTCCCCGTCCGGCCGCCCCCCCTCCCGCTGCTGAGAAGACGGCAGTTGAAACGCTGGGGTCACACGCGCCAGCTGTGCTGTGGGGGACGCGCCCGCAGCCGCGCCCTTCCCGGGGACGGCGCCTGAAACGGCGCTGGGCCTCCGACCATCAGGTGAGTGGCCGCGCATACACGCGTCTTCGGCGGCCTGCCCTTTTGCTTGCGGCGCCTTGGCATCGGAGACACAAGCGGTGGCGGCGGCGGCAGCAGCGGCACCTCCAGCAGAGGTTTTTGAATGGCAAAGCTGATCTGCTGTCTGCTGCTGCTGCTGCGTCTGCGTCTGCGTCTGCTGCTGCTGCTGCTGCTGCTGCTGCTGCTGCTGCTGCTGCTGCTGCTGCGCCACAACTGCTACGGGCCCTTGCTGCTGGTGCTGCAGTGCTGGAAGCCGCCGTTCCTGCCCTTGGCTCTGCTCGGGTGGGTCCAGCACATAGCCCGCCTGCTTAGCCCTGGCCATGGCAGCAGCGGCAGCCGCTGCGATGCAAGGTACTGTTAAGCCTGTGGCTGTCAAGCCCGTGACGGGGGATAGCTGCCCCCTCAGCTGGTGCGGCGCAGGTTGGCTGTGCATAGGGGCGTGGCGCTGGCGGGGCATCGCAGCCGCTCCCACGTGCACCTGCTGCTGCTGCTGCTGCTGCTGCTGCTGTCGAACTGCCGCCTGCGTGGGCCGTGCTACCTGCGGCGTTGAAGCGACGGGCCCCGCGTCCCCTGGGGGCGGCAACAGTGCCTGCGCCTCCTCCAAAAGCCGACGCCGCTTGATGGCCGGCAGATTTGGCTGCGCAGGCTCAGCAAAGGCTGCAGGCTCCCGCCCGAGGCACTCCGCTGCCTGCACCCGCCTGTCTCCGCCGCCCGCGTCGCCGAAGCCAGTGCCGCCAGCGGCAGCCAATGGCTGTGGCGCCGCTGCGTCCCCAGGCTCCCCAAGGCGCTGCGCGGCGGCATGTGCGCCTTGGCCATTGGCGGCCGGCCCCGCGGCTGGCCTTGGCTGCGGCCTCTGTGCCACGAGGACATGCTGCTGTGTGTTTTTGCCGCCCTTCCTGCTGAAGGCTGACCTGATGCTCGTTTTGGGAAGCAGGACGAAGGTCACGCCGCTGCCCGCCCCGCCGACACCACCGCCCGAGGCTGCCCCGTCGTCCCCGCCTTTCATGTCGGGGCTAGCAAGGGCGCGGCAGCCGCTGCGTCGGCCCCGCCAGGCGCGCCGGACGCCTCGCGCGCTGCGTCAACGCACCATTGCCCGCTGTGCAGAGGTGGCGGAAGGCGCGTACAGCGCGTTCATCAGCGGGGATAACAAGTTAAGCATGCTGTTTTGTACACGTCTAAACTCCAAGCCATAGCCTCTACACACTGGACACTGCACATTTACGTACAGTCGGCTCGCCGCGTCCAAATGGCCTGGAACGCATACGCTTATCACCAACCCTCACTTCAGATATCAAGACGGCTGCCCCCTGCTGCCGGTGTGATCACATGCGATCTTGATGGCGCGCTGTCACTAGTTGAGACGAGATCCCATCGTCGCGTCGCAACAGCGCTCGGTCAACTTGATATGTTACATGGATCACAGTGGTACTGCACTGACGACACATCTGCATACTCTCTCGGGGCGGTGACGCCAACTCCTGCTGTCCTCGTGCAGTGACGTCCACCTTCGCCCAATCATGGTTCAACAACTCGCCGCTCCAACACTGCAAGAGGTCGGAACAGCGTGGTGTCAGTCGTCGCCACGGCGGGCGCTCCCTGGTCGCAGGCAGCTGCAGAACAACCAACCGTCAACCGACCAACTGACTGAACGTTGTGCTTCAACGCACAAGCCCATGTAGGGGCGGCGGCACTCCCCATGCAGGACCCACCTCACCTAGCGTCACGGGGCCATCCCGGTACGTCCCTCGCCGCAGCGCAGTCCGGATCGCGCCCCACTTCCCCTTGTCTGCGCCGTAGACAACTGCGGGGGTCCATTCGTTTGATGTGTGTCACCACCGTACGGATTTGCCACAGCCACACAAGAGGGGCGCCGCAGCGGCCTCATGAGCCATTTTGCATTCCTTGAAAGTCGCCAGGTCGGGCTAGTACATAGGCACAACATAAATGCATCCAAGCATGAAATTGGATCATGACAAGACTACACAGGCTGCATGTGCGAGAGGGCTTAGATTTGCATGGCGATAATCAACGTGCACAAATGATGCCAGACTGGCATGCAATTACGGCAGAGATGTGGCGCGTCATGCGCGTGACATAATTGAGCAACCGCAAGCGCTTGCTGAGTGCCTGCGCACCTAAGTGGCGCTCTGGCGCGACCTGCAGGGGCGAGAGGCAGGCGGCCTCAGAAATGCAGCAGGCGGCGGCCCGTGAAGCTGGGCGCTGCGCTGGCCGTTTGCGCGCGTGCCGGTCGAAACAATAGTAACAGCAGCAAGCTTGGTTCATTGCCGTCGTTGGGCACGGCAGGCGTCGCTCACCGCCCCAAAGAGCGCCTTGGTCGGCCACACGGGGCACGTGCAAGTGAAGGCCCGGAGGACGTCCCCTGCGGGTGGCAGCGCGCGCCGCGTTCATGGCGCAGCAAGCAAGTTGGCAAGTTCAGATACATGAGCCTGCTTTTGCAGATTGAAGGGTCGTCCCCTGAGGGTCGATGCAATGGGCGCCCCTGCGTAATTTCAAGCGACCGCCTGAAACCAAGCACACCCTAGGGGTCCACGCCCGAGGCTCACCCTCCAGTGCAGCTTCTGCTTCCTTGACCTTATTCAGCCGCGCCACCTGCAGTACGCAGGAGAGGTACACCAGCAGCGCCACGTCTCATATTGAGATCAGCACGCCAGCCTGGACAACATGTTGACGTGCAATGGTTGTTCGACATGCTGGTTGCCCTCACTTGAATCTTGACGGTCAGCCGTGAGCTGACCAGCCGCAAATCAAGCAAGTTTCCAGCCCGATAGGCCTCCGTACCCGCGGCCAAACACCTGCTCACCTTCTGCCGCTGCTCCGCATTGCTGCCCTCCACAAACCCCGCCACCGAGGCCCGCTTCCGCCGCTCGTCGAACTCGAAGACGACGCCCAGGGGCCGCGGCAGCGTGACGCACACGATCTGGCTGGGCCCCGGCAGCAGCTTCTCAAACACAAACGTCCTGCAAACGGCGGGAGCACAGGGGCAGGCGCGGCACTGTCCATCCATCCCAGCTGGCTGTTGACAATGCAGCCTTGCATACCTTGCAGACCAGCCTGCGTTCACACCGCTTCGTTGCCAAGCTCATGGTGAGGCATTCGGGCGTCTGTCGTGCATGCGTTAGACATACGCTTCCAACACGCCGACTGTTGCACTGCCCCACACGCATCAGGGGCGGCCGCCCGGCCGCACCGTGGCTCTGTGGCGCCGACCTTCCCTACGCCCACGCGCACGCGCTCGCCCGGGGCGTCGCTCGCGACCGGCCAGGGCGTGTATGAGATGGGCTTGAACGCCAGCAGGTCCTGGGCATGTGGGGCAGAGGCGGCGAGCATGAGCGCCCCGTCGTCACGAGAGGGGGCAGTGCCGCCAGGTGCTGCTGCCGACCCCTCTGCGCGCCCTCTCATGACGGCTGCCTGCTGTTTGACCCGCATGCGATACCCCTAAATTCGCGGCTTGAGGCGGCAGTGGCTGCTGAAATCTGAGGCGAGGGAGATGGCCAGCAGCAGAGGCGTCCGTGCCGCGAGACTGCGGAAAGGCACACCGTTGGGTTTCTGAATCGCTGGTGCGGCTGCCACTCATCAGCTAGACTCACGTTTTTATCGACCTCCGGGCTCACGCCCTCGGGGGCCTCGAACATGGTGCCTGTCTTGGGATCCTCAAACAGCCGCCCGCTGTCCAGGAGCTCTTTGGGGGGCGGCCGCAGCACCCAGGCGCCCACCGCCAACGCCGCCACCAGCGGGAGGCTGACCGCCGTGAGGAACGCTGCATCCGCCCCTGCGGCACACTCCGCATCGAAGCAGACGGGGGGCACAAACGCTGTGGCTGCCGCGGCCGCCGCCCAGCACTTGGCTTGAGCTGCTACGACTGCCACGGGCAGAGCACCGAGTGTCGCCATGCAATGCACGGGCCGTTGCGTGTGTTGCCTGGCCGTCACCACGCAGTTGGGTCCCCATAGATGCCGATCTAGCCCCTGAACCACGCGGGCTCGCTGCCGAGGCAAAGGAGGGAGAGGCCTGCTGAACATAGACGTGATCTGGAACTGAAATCGCGAAGTTCAACAGGTCAATTGGACTTGACTTGTTTCAAAGCTGAAAGGAGGCTGGAACGCTGTGCTTAGCTTGCCATCAGTTTAGCATCGTCACCAGAAGGGTGTCGGGTGCTTCAGTCGGAAACGAGAACTCTCATTTATAGGTAGCCCACTACCGTCGCATGGGCACCAACAACTTAAGCTACGTTTCAAAACCATGGGTGACGCTAGAGACTCGCATAGACCCAGCGTCAAGCAATCAGCGAGCAACACATGGCGAGAACGGGTGCGTATGTGTAATTCCCAAGCACTAGTTGTCCACTGTGCGGGCAGACAATGGGCACACAGCGCGATGCCGTTGCAGATCGTTGTCATGCATGCCCCCGCAACGCCCGTGGTGCGCCAGGCGGCACACCCAAGCGGCACTGCAGCGTGCAGACGAGGTGCACAGCAGCTGGATGTATAGGGGCGACATGGGGATCTCTATCTCTAGCCCAGAAGGCGTAGGGAGAGCCTGCGATATGACAGATCGGCGTCGCCTCCGCATTGCCACGCGCAGGTGAGGGAGGACTGCCGCCGCCTCGTGCGGGAGCGGCGGCAGCAGACGCTGCAGCGCCACCGGCAGAGCATGTCCCCCCTCTCGGCGGCGCAGCTGCAGGTGAATGAGGGCTTTGCGCACCGGGGCGGGCTCTGCGCCGGCGCAGCGCATCTGGCCGCTGCCGGGCATCTGGCATCCAGGCAAGAGCGGCGGCATGCTTGCAAGACACTCGGTGCGCACGGACGCGGCACGCCGACGCCTCCCTGCTGCGCAGTCTTCGCTGCAGAGCGACGTCCACGCGGCCGTGCAGGACGTGCTCTCCAGCCTCCAAGCAGGGGGCGCCGGCCCCAGCCCCACAGCGGGCCCCACCCCATCAGGCGGTGGCCACTGCAGCGGAGCGGGGCCGCGCGCGGCGGGCGATGGCGTCGGCCCGGATGCGGACGCGTTTTTGGCTGAGCTCGAGGCGCAGATCGTTGCTGAGATGCTGCAGGAGCTGGACCAATTGGAGGCCTTCGAATCGGCGGCGCTCGAGGCGGCGGTTGCGGAGCGCGAGGCACTCGTGGCAGCAGCGGCGGCGGCGGCGGGTGGGTGTCGCCGGCTGCCGCGCCGTGCAAGATGCATTCTGTTCGCCGACTATCCTGGGGCATCAGTCCAGAGTTCAGGCCACCACGTGCACGACTGCGTGTGTGGCCTTTTCTTGTCCGCAGGGATGTCCCCTGCTCCTCCGAGCATCAGAACCGCGCGATACAGCTGCTCACCTCACACCGCGCCCGCAGGCGCGTCCCCGGAGTCGCCCGCGGCGGCGGGGCCGCACCCCCGCCCGCCGCCGCCGGCCGCGCAGCAGCTGCTGTGCCCGGTGTGCATGGGCGCATTCCTGCTGCAGCGGGCGGGGGTGGTGGTTTGCCCCAGGGGCTGCCTGCAGCTCAACCTGGCTGCCGAGAGCCTGTCACTGGGTGACCTCAGGGCGCGCCTAGAGCAGGTGTATGAGGTGCGGCGCGGGTTTCACCATCCTCCCTGCACAAGCATGCGCATGTGCACACACACACACACACACACACACACACACATGCGCGCGCGTTCGCGCGCGCACACACACACACACACGTGCGTACGCGCGTGTGCGCTCACATCAAAACCCGCACATGCGCGCCCACATGCCCCCCGCCGACCCCTCGCACGCGCTGCTCTATTTTTTCAACGCCATGCTGCGGGGCCGGTGCAGCGCACCGGCAGCCGACAAACCTGAGCAGGCCTCGAACTCCGCGCGCGCTCGCAGCGACCTGCGACGCCTGCCGCGGGCCGCCGCCGCGCCCTTGCCCCGCGTGCCTGAAGCAACCCGCTTGCGCCCGCCCGCCCACTTGCAGGAGCACCGAGCGACGGGCTGCGGAGGGTCGCTCGTGTTTCGGATGGAGGACCTGTTCGGGAGCCGCAGCCTCACGAGCAGCTGCGCCGCGGGCTGCCCACATTACCGAGTCGTGGCATGACGTGACGTGACATCACGTGCGCCCGCGGCGTTGGCCGCGCGTGTGCCTGTTGCCGAGGACCGCCGTGGGGCCGGGTCGTGACGGCTTTTCAAGCGGCGGCAAGTGCAGCGCTGAGTGTGCAGGTTTGGCTGATTGACACCGCTGCAAGACGCGGCACAGCATGACTGCGTTCGCACGATTTTTTTCAGTTTCACACACGCCAAATGGAAGATGCTCTTTCACCTCTCTAGTGCTCCTGTGCACACATTTACACCACAATTGCTCCGAGGTTGAGCGCCATCAACGTGCTTTGAATTCCTCGCGCGTTCTCAGCAGCAGCCTGCAGCAGGGGCTGCGCAGCGCACGCAGGCGCCGCTGCAGGCCCGACCGGCCCGTTGCAACAGAGATTATCGCAAGACCGATGACAACTCCTGAAGCCCTCGCGGGCAAGGGGCCAAAGCACGAGGATGCCGCGGGGCGAGGCCTCAAGCCTCAAGCGGCGCCCCAGGCCCAACCCTTAGCGCGGAGCGCTCGGGAGAGTGCAGTAGGGGGTGAGTGGGGGCTGGCCAGGCCCGGCGCGAGCCCGCGGGCCGAGCGGCGGCGGGGGCGCTGATGTACACAGGGGGCTGCGTGCGCGCGCGACGCGGGAAAGGGAGGGGGGAGCGCGTGCAAGCTCTCTTGGAAAGAGCCCGGGGATGCGCCCCGGGGGCTCGGCGCAGCGGCGGCGGCGGTTCGCGGCGCGATAAGGCGCCGGCTGCCAACAGGACCGTGCGCCCGCGGAGCTGGGGCACTCGGGCGCGCGGATCGGTGGAAAACCTTTGTAATGAGAGACACAACAACAGATTTTGCACATGCACATGCGGAGGCGACGCCGTCCGAAGAAAACACTGATTAGCCGCCCGGGCCGCCGGCAGCACGCAAGCCGCTGGCAGGCGGCGCTCTGGGCGGCTGCCACCGCCGCACGTCGCGCTCACGGGGGTGCAAGCATCCCTGCAGAATCTCCAAACGGATTCCCCAAACACCAAGTCCCATCTCAACACACGCGCGGCCGCCCATCGCGCACCCCTGCCCCGACAAACTGAAAGCAAACCAAACCGTCGGGAGCCGCCGCCGCGAGCCCGCCAGCCCCCGCCGTGCGGGCGGGCGGCGTGGCCGG